TATCCTAACAAACAGCACCTGCTTCATTTCTATGAAACCCTTATTTATTTTTGAAATGTCTTTGATGTGCCTCAGTGTAATTATGGTTCCATCTTTGTGTCACTCCACTAGGACTGGGACAAGCCTGAGAACATCCCAGATCCTGATGCTAAGAAGCCTGATGACTGGGATGACGAGATGGATGGAGAGTGGGAGCCACCTATGGTCACCAATCCCGATTACAAGGTGAACAGCTGATAATGACTGCACTTAATACACACACTCCAGTTAACATGCTACACTACTGCCATTTGTTAATGTTTACTTTAGGCCACATTCTCAAATGTCTGCCCTGTATAGAGTATTGTATGGATGATGTATTTGTGTAGGCCAACCTGGAAATTAGCATCACCCTGGTCCCTTCGACAAAATGTCAGTGGGATTTTTCCTTAGGCTTTTGGATTGTTGCAGAAAATAAGCTCTGTGACAAACAACAGTTTATGACAAACATTTTGTGCCGCAAGATCATCTTCACAAGTGAACACCAATTTTATGATGTTTGAAGCCCAGGTACAATCACCAGAAGTAAAAGGCTATTGTTAGGCTATAAACAAACTACACCACAGTCCCATGACTTCAACATCACCACCACAGCTTCCAGCTTATAATTTGATTTACTGAATTTACCTTTTCTATAAAATCCTTTCCTCTTAGCGTGACCTGATCTAGCCAGTGATCATGACTGTCAGTTACTTAGAACAGTTCTCAAGTGCTTGAGATTAAAAATAACAAACCTGTAAATATGGACCAGTGAGTAGATGAATGTTTATGTTCAGTATGGTGATGTATAAGGTTCCAGATTTCCTCTGTAATCTCATTTAGCCACTTTTTAAGATGTGAAACTGTATTGGCCTTGTCCTAACTGCAGACCTTATTTCAAGCACCTAACCAAAAACCCACTGACCTCAGGCCAAAGGAAACCAGAATTGCAAAAATGCTAAGTCACTTACAGATTTTAGGACTCAGTACTACAGCACTCTGTAGTTCTCAAAGATTCACACAATGTAACAAAAAGTCCCACAGCTTTTCACCATTTGATAGATATGAAAGTTACATCTATGCAACATTACATTAGTGATGAATGAGTGATATTGAACACCTCAAAAAAAAGTTACATAAAGGTGACAAAGCATTAAAACCACAATACACAAAAATTGACTATATTGTGTTCTTGTTTTATTTTTATTTGCTCCATTCACCTGCTGCTTTAAAGTGCCTTAGATTTGTGATTTTACTGCTTATTTAGATTTGTGTTATTGCGCATCTACTTTATATTTCATTTGTATTATGTGGCATCCATGTTGACGGCAAAGTAAGAATGTCATTGTACAGGGAAACACGTTTCTTACCTGTGCATATGACAAATAAACACTTTGACCTTTGACCTTGACTTCTTGTGTTTGACCATAAGTAACACAAGCTATAATTGTGGTGAGTTTTATTCATGTCCCAGTTTCTATAGCTTTCTGTGTGTGTGTGTTCGCTGTCCACAGGGTGAGTGGAAACCAAGAGAGATCAACAATCCTGCCTACAAGGGCAAGTGGATCCACCCTGAGATCGACAACCCGGAGTACACAGCCGATTCTGAGATCTATAAATACGATAGCATTGGTGTGATTGGACTCGACTTGTGGCAGGTAAGAAGTTACCTGACTGTCTTATTTACTGCGTAGCAAAGAGGTAGAGATACGTCTTATTTATTTCTTGTAAATAAGAAGTCTTAATTTGACAGTTTACTGAAATGAACAACAATTAACTGGTATATAGGTCAGTGGTTGTCTTATTTTTATTCAGAGCCACTATAGAGTTGTGTTTGTTTCTTATTCTGGACCTTTTTCAATCTGTCAGTGCAAAAGAGTTTCTTTTCAGTTTCAGATGTAGTGAAGTGAAGATGCTGTGGAAATAGAGGAAGCATGCTTGGAAATTGAATCTTTTCTTCAACTGGATTTGCTTGTATTAATTACCTGGCAGTACCTAAAATGAATTTCTTTTGCCTTCTTGTATAGGTCAAGTCTGGTACAATCTTTGACAGCTTCCTGATCACCAATGACCCAAACCTGGCAGAGGAAGTAGGCAACGACACATGGGGTAAAACTAAGGTAAGCCCAAACCTCTCTCATTGCTAGATTTCAAACAGCATATAGACTCATACATCTTTAGTGCTTATAATGTAGGTAGACAGACTCTAATTGCAGTGCTTTTAAATTAAGTTTTGCAGTGCTTTTAAATTAAGTTTAATCATTAGGGAATGATTTATTATCACTTTTTAACTTTTCTCCTCATGTGTTTTTTCTCCAGGATGCAGAGAAGAAGATGAAGGGAAGTCAAGAGGAAGAAGAGAGAAAGAAACATGAGGAGGAGGACAAGAAGAGGAGAGAAGAGGCAAAGGAGGAAGATGAGGAAGAAGAGAAAGATGAGGAGGAGGAAGATGATGAAGATGAAGAAGAGGACGAGAGGGAAGAGCAGCATGAGGAGGAGGAGGAGGAGGAGGAAGAAGAAGAAGAAGAAGAGGAAGGCACAGATTCTAAACTCAAAGATGAGTTATGAACTCCATGCAGGAACTGCTTAGAGAAGAGCCTAACTGTGTCACTGAGTGGTTGGAACGAGGCTGGAGACTGAGACGGCAGACCCTCATGACTAGCACCCTGGGGTGGGGTTGGGTGGGATGGGGTTTTTCATTTGGTTTTGTTTGTTTACAAAGCAAGGGAATTGGTAAAAAGAGGCAATTACTGTTCTGCTTGCTTCTTCCTAATTATTACTATTATTATTATTATTATTGTTATATCAAGGAAGAAGTAGGACTAATGAAGAATGTCAGGACTGGAAATTATAAAACTACATGATTTTGCAGTTTGTACCCAACAGAAATATTTAAAGTGTCATATGTATTTTTGTTTTTTTATGAAGTACTATGTTTGGTGACATGAAAAGCTGTATTTGGTATGTGGATGATACCATGTAAATGTTTTGTTTACCTCGTGTTTTGTCTTCTTAATCTGTGCCATGTCTTTTTCTTTTTGGTCATCTTTTGTAGTCAGTCATGTCACTCTGTCTCAAGTTCCCCTTCACATCCATCTCAAAGGATTCAACAGGGTTGCACTTCATTATGCAGGTTATTCTGCCTGCTCAGGACTAGCATTATATATTTGACAACCTGTTCAAAAAGCTGTTGTCCACAGGATGTAATATGGGGTACTTTAAAATGAAATCCCTAGCATACTTTTGTACTGTATAGTTAAGAGGTTTTCACTTCAGTGCACATACTGTAGTCTTGTCTAAATAAACTGTACTAAAACTCAAATGTACGTGAAGAACACTCCAGTAGCAGCAAAGCATCTGTTCATTTGGTGGGCATTTGCTTTACCCAAGTTGGTGTACCAAACTAGCTTCTTCATTTCTGACACCGGCATCTGTGCACTGCTGTCCACAACAGTCTGAAAGATGATCCTTTTGTAAAAGATGCATTTTGTACTAATGGAAGAAGTGGGAAGGTGTTCGTGTTACTGTGTAAGAAACAGACAGGTGTTCTGTTCAATAAAAAAAAAAAAACACAAGCAAATGTCCTTCTCAATATCATGAGTTACCAATGTGGTTATGTCTATAATACTACCTTTTACATATTATACAGTGGGTACGGAAAGTATTCAGACCCCCTTCAATTTTTC